ATATATATTTATATATATATTTATTTATTTATTTATAGCCAATTTTACTTTTGATGAAAATTATTCGTCCTATTTAAATTAAAAATTAAAAATTTAAAAAAATTGAATTATTTATCTAAATAAAATACTTAATAAATATTAAAAACTGAAATCAAAATGATTTAAATTTCTTTAATTCGTAAAATGCTGGATACACACAACCTAACCTAACATTATTTCGGATGTCTTTAATACTAGTATTTTTGTCGATCATTTCACATGTTAAATTATTATTATATATAAATAAAAATTATAATAAGTTATATATATTATATAAATATATAAGTCATATTTAAAATTTATATAAGTAAATATTTTTTAATATATAAATTATATTATAGATATAATATAAATATATAATTTATATTACAATGCAAGAATATTTTTTAATTATTAATATATTTTTTAAATGAAAATTTAATTTATGAATAAGTATGATAAATAAAAAAATTGAATTAAATTTAAAAATTTAAAAATATTAAAGAAAATGTTTGTTAAATTTTTTTTTGCTAAAAATGCTATATTTAATATATGGAGTGTGATTTTTGATGGCGAACTCTTTTGCAGGTTCGTGTTCAGGCACATTGGTAATTAGCAACAAGTGCAGGTACACAGTTTGGCCTGTCATTTCTTCGGGGCGACGAAACCAACAAGGGGAGTCCAACACCATCGTTGTGCCCCCTGCTGCGTCTAGGGGCGGACCCTCTGTTCTGAGGACGTCACCGGAAAGTTGTCATGTGTCACCGGTGACTGCGGTTCATCCACCTAGAATGCTCAAGTGGAAACGTGGCGCCGCCTGCTACTTTAGTGGAGTTGAATCTAAACGACACGGGCGGTTTGGCTTTTATGTAGTTTGCAAATTAACCATCCATTGCCCCTTAAGCACCAAAGCCAACGCCAACGCCAACATTGACGTTGAAAATGAAATCGAAAGTCTGTAATTGCAACTGGGACAATCAGGGGCCATTGTAATACATGTTAGCTATATGTAAAATCTAGCTTCATCCTGTCATTGTATTTTACTATTCTATCTCATTCTTTTTATGATTTCAAACATCTCCAAATATTGATTATTGGTATAAATACCATATATTTTATTTTTTTAATTTTATATATTTAAAAACACTTCATTTTAATTCTTATATGTATATATTATTTTTCTTTGTCATTTTGTATTATGATATTTATCATACAAAACGTGATAATTCTTACAACTACTTAACATTTCAAAATTGGTGCAAAAATACACCTATATGTAAGATTGAGTGTCCTAAAATGAGAAATTTAGACTCATTAGTAAGTGATGAAATTTATACCGTTTAAAAGGTATATGTACTCTCAATCACTTTAAAAAGGAAGGAGAAAGTAGAATTAAGTGAGTCTTAAGTTTCTTAAGGTTTTGTCATTGTGTGATTATTAGTAAAACGTCCTACCATCAATATGTAGGTTACAATCCTTTTTTGTGCATGTACATGCTTCAAAGATAACAATCATTGTTGGTGATCAAGTTTCCTTGTTATGATTATCTCGTAGATTGTGAAGACCAAATATGGGAGATACATAATTTCAAGACCAATTTTAATTATATTGTTGGGTTAAGTTAGAATTTATGTATTGCTTTAACTAGTTTAATTATTTTTTTAATAATTAATTTGACAAGTTTTTACACTTTATAATCCATCAACTAAGCAATAAAACGTAAATATAATTATCTAGGATTATCATGTAATATATATATATATATATATATATATATATAAAAAGAGAGTTCAAACGATACATGTATAACTTTTACTAGTTATTACACTACTGAATAACTTTATATTAAATGTAAAATTTTATCGATTCCACCATTGAATTATAACATCATATCACCTTGTATATTTTGTTAAAATTGAACAACAATTCGAAGGTAAACAAAGTGTTCATATTTTGTATATTTTGAAATAAATATATTACGTCAATTTTGATATATAAGAATGATGTATTAAATCATCTTGGATTAATATAACATTTTCTATATATGATATTGGAATAAGAAGTTCTCAATCTTACGATAAGTTTTGAAAATTCACACTTAATATATAGTTATTAAGTGGTGTAATAGTTGAAAAAAGTTACACTTGTGTTATTTGAACTCTTTCTCTTTCTCTTGATATATATATATATATATATATGACTAAAAAATGGTTTCCTATATAGTTAAGTAGCGTAAGCACCTAAATCCTTGATTTAGCTAGGGCCCAGGAAGCGAAGAGAATAAGCTTTGGTTCGGATGTACTGTGCCATTCTTTCCCAACTAAAAACCATGTGTTTTGTTGCATGACAATAAGCGAAAAGGAGAAAGGAGACGGATGGGAGAACAAAATATCAAGTTTCTATCATTTGATTAAGAAGAGAAATATGAAGCGGAAAAGTTGTATTTTTGGACCCACTAGAAAACACCCTTCACCCCCAAAATTGGCGTCAAACAACATGAAATTCATTTCGTGTATATAACCAAACAAAACATGATTGATCCCAACTTTTTTCAAGAACGTAACAAACTTTCACGAAACTCAAACTTAAAATGGTTTTCTTTAATGTATTTCAAAAAAAAAAAATTGCCTTCTTTAGTGAAAGAAAAGACACTAAAAAAAAGCTTCCACAAAATCTTGCAGAATTGAAGGAGCATTTACTTTTAGTAAGTGAAGGGAGAAAAAGG